AATCAAGCCACGTGCAGGTTTGTTTGCTTTTTGGTTGGTTGGCTGTTTACAAGCAATAGCCCTAAGCGCTAAATAAAATGAACACACACAAATCAAAAGGTAGCGTTTTTTTAAATGTTCTCTATAAAGTATAAATTTCTTAGTTTTACAGTGCTCTCATTTGCTTTTTACTGGAAGGAGAATGGGAAATTAAATTAAGAGTGATAAGAACAGTTAGTTCCCAAGCAGCGGAGGATGCAAGAATTTACTGTCCAGGCTTGGCCTACAGCTGAGCAGCCAGTTCTCAAGGGAAGAGGACGCTCTCCAGAAATGTCATTATGGACCGGAAGTTTGGAAGGGCTTGTTTGTTTATGGCCTAAGGAAAGTCGTGCCAGTCCCGCTGTAAAATGTAATGGAGAAAAACTCCCTTTTACCAAACAATCCAGGAGTTTCTCCCAACGCCTGAAACTGCAAGCGCCTTCTGGCACCCGCAGGCCTGGCACTTCTCACATGGAAGGGCGGCCAGCCCATGTGAATGGGAGTGCCACCCAGCAGTTTAAGTGACAGATCTGCTGGGAGCATCCGAATGTGATCGGGCCCTCCGGGGGCCGAGGCTGCGGGAAGAGGAACACGCGTGCAATCTTCTGGGCCCTCCTACTTCCGTTCCCAGAACAGAAATGCACTGTTTCTCCCCGTCCTCACCTCCCGGCTCAGTACCTCTCCGCAGCCACGGAAAGAGCAGCAGAGAGTACTGGACGAGGGTCGACAGGCGGGGTTCGCGCAGGTACCCCCACCCGCCGACTCCGGACCGCCGGCCAGGCCACTGTCTGCGCCTCCTCCGGAGCCCCTCGGGCGGGGGGCCAGGACGAAGCTGAAGTGGGCGTCCCTGCTGGCCCCCTGCCCCTTCCCCCGCGAAGTACCCAGAGTAAAGGCGCAAAGAGGAACTAAGTGAACTGCAAGTGGGTGTCCCCGCGAGCTCCCCGGAGGGGGCGGGGCGGGGATGGGGAGGCCGAAGGAGCGGAAGGGGGAAGGATGAGCAGCCCAAGGGGAAGGGACGAGCGCGCACCCGCCCGCAGAGGTGATCCCGGCCTGGGGGGAGGCGGTCGCACCATTTCCTCGAGGCAGAGGACAAGAGAAGGCGGACGAGGGGGTCACTCGGGGGCGCCCGAGCCCTGCCCGGGTCAGAAGCCGCGGCAACGGCCGCTCGCCCGGTCGGGTGCGCGGAAGGCGGGGATCCTGGCCCGCGCGGCCGGGCCGGCTTTCCCCTCCCTCCCGCCGCCGCCGCCGGGCAGCGGCTCCCGGGCGACACCGCTCCCGCGCCGGACGACGGGGTCGGTTACCTGAAGCGGGGCGAGTCCTTCAGACACTCCTCGAAATCCACTGTCATCTTCATCGTGCCTCCGCCCCGCCTCGCCGGCGGCGCTGGAAGAGCCGAGGGAGCCGAGGGAGCGGCCGCGCTGGGGAGCCGGACGGCGACCGCGGACGCACGGCCGGACTAGTGCTGCTCGGAGCTGCGGAGGGCGCCCTGCCCGCTGGTCATAGCAGCCGCGAACGCGTCGGCAGCAGCGGCGGCGACTGGTCAGGCCCCAGCCCGCCCCTCCTCCTCCCGCCCCTCGCAGAGCTCGGCCTCAGGGAAACTGCCCCGGAGTGACAGCCACGGCCAGCCAGCCACGAACGCGGCGGCCAATAGGAGGGGCTTCCGGCAGCACCGCCTGCGGGCGCTGTAGCAACGCCTTCTGAGCGACAGGAGGCTGAGCCAATGAGCAGCGCGACCGTGGGCACCGCCTCGCTACAGTCGTAGCCGAAGCCAACCGGGATCCCTCGACGTCGTTAGGCGGGACGCGCCGGTTGCTGGGAGGCCGGCAGCTGGGGCTCCCTGGGAAGGAAGTCACGTGACCACGCGCAGCGCTTTCCTCGGAGCCTCCGCCTCTTCGCTCGCTTCAGCCCCGCCCTGCGGAATCGCCAGCGAGGAGGAGTTGCTGCTAGCCCGGCGGAGAAAGATTTTTTTTTTTTTTCCTTTACAGCAGTTTTGGCAGAAGCCTGAAGAGGTCAGGAGCAGAAATTACAAAAATGAAAAGATGGCCTAAACCATCGCTTCCCTTCAGTGCAGGAAAACTCATGCCAGGAGAATAGGGAGGGTAGCTGTAAGGACAATATCCGTGTTTAACATAAAGTTTCATGGTTAATCATTTGGAAATTGCTCCTGGGAACATCTGGTCACACAACCAGAGACCACTTCCTGAAGTAGCTGGCGTTTGGAACGGGCACTGAAAGATGAGAAGGATTCGCACAGTATGATTGTAGGGCGTCTCAAGAGCTACTCTCAAAACCACCCAAGGCAGCCCCCCTCTGACGCACTCTTCTCCCATAGCTGTCCGTGTTATAAAACACGGATTCGGAAGATGAGGCTCACTGTAACCCTCTGCAGCACCTGCCCTTTAACCCACAGCTTTTCTGGGATGCACAGTGCTAGGATTCTAATTGATCCTCACAATACTACAAGGCAGGCATTTGCCCTACTTCCAGATTTAAAGATGCCATTGATTAGGAAAGTCCCATGGATACAATTTTATTAAGTACAGTGAACCCTCGTTTATCGCGGTTAATCGGTTCTAGACCCTACCGTGATAAATTAAATTCCGCGAAGTAGGATTCCTTATTTGTAAATTAAATATTTTCGTAGTTAGAGCATAGAGGACATGAAAAAACACCCTTTAGTCACCATTACACTCGTATTACCCAATTTATTAAGGGAAAATACAGTAAAACATTTTGGATGTTACAATGATCATTTATTATTTATTATATTATTTATGGCATCAAGTGTGTACAGTATGAGCCAATCAGTGGCAGTAATGACAGAGCATGCGCTGTTACGCAAAAACCGTGATAGAGTGAAGCCGCAGAAGTCGAAGCGCGAAGTGGCGAGGGTTCACTGTATACACTTTTTAAGCCAACCTGAAACCATAAGCATATTCATAAAATTTGCATACTATTAGTAGGGTTACTAACAGCATAATGGCTCTGAGAGGAGGCCAACTTCTCCCTCACTGTAAAAGGAAGATAAAACACCACTAATATCATAAAGTTGTCTTGAGACAGAAACAGATAAGACCTGTAAGGACACTTTTAAACAGTGCCATATAGTAATCACTCACTCAATAACTGTTGGCTAGTATCATAAATGTACCACTTTTCTTCAGTTTCACCATCAAAAGGTGCATTGCTGGAAGTTAACCCTTTTGACTCCTTGACTAAGTATGGCATCATGATGGCATGCTTTTTTTTTTTCATAATCTGTAATTATATTGTGATCTCTTTAGCATATTTAGAAATTAATGGAATCATTTTGAGAGATTTCAAAAACTATTAATGTGTTCTACACGTTTCTTTTTATTAGAAACGTGGCTTTGAATTCCACAAGGTCAGGCTGTTCAAAACCACCAAGATAAGGCTTTCTACTCCCACAAAGTTTGTCTCCAAAACCCACAGGAGCTGCTCTACCCTGACCTATAGCATCTTTAGAAGTCGGAATCTACTCAGTGGCAGAAATGAGGGAGAACCCTATGCTTCTTTTCATATCTAGAAGCTATTAACTAATAAATGTTCAGTGACAGACGTGTCAATTGGGGTAGTCAACCTCTCTGTAACTTCTATGTCATATTTACCCAGAAAGTTGGCAATTTTCACATACAACTACATTCCTGATGCATAACAAGCATTCTGCTTACACTGAGCAAGTTACTGTTGCACATCATCACAGTGGATCCTTTTCGAAGGATCCCCTAAAGTGACACTCTGAGGTTCAAATTAAAGTTCAACTGCATGATACCCTCCATGCAAAAAACTGAGCTAATTATCAACTGAACAACTTTCTTCTTTGGTTGATAAAATTTGCATATGCCCAGTTAGTAGTAAAAACATCACAGTTTCTCTTATCTGACTGTGGTAAAGGAGGCATTTTCGGGCATCAACTGTGAAATAAATACTAAATTAGGAAACATTAAAAGTGGAGCAGGGCGAAGGCAGTGGGCTTTAGAAAGGAAGAAATACAATATTATTATTTTGATCTACTAACACTAGAAACTTGAGATTCCAAGACTTAGAAATAGTTCCCAGGTCATGCAGGCCAAACACAGGCCCCATGATTCCATTCCTGCTTTCCCCCTTAGAGTTCTGCTGCCCTGCCTTTGCTGCCTGCTTGTGAAAAATTTCCCTTTCGCTTCTTTAAAAGCCACCTCTAATGCCATCTCTTTCGGGAAACCTTCTTTGCTTGCTGAAATACAGGCCTCTTTTCAACACACTAAACTTTAGTTAACACACACGGTCTAGACTCCTAAAGGATGTAAATTTTCAAAGCTTAAACCTCACTCCAAGATCTTCTGCCCAGACTTCTGTCTTCCTCCAAGCAGTCAGGAGGTCTGGACAGTCAAAGCCTTTCCCAGAATGTTTCTGATTTTCTCTGATAGTTTTGACCATACATCCTCTAGAAGAGAGGTGTTTTTTCTCCCCTCCCTCGGGCTGCTATACCAAGGTAGACAGCCAGAACCTATCCCTTTAGTTTTGGGCATGCACTAAATCATAGCTCCCATTTAAGAACAATTCGTTCTGACACCATGTCTCTGCTCCATACTCCCCCTCAGAAAGGGAACACAGAAGACACGGTGCTGTAGCAAAATGTGGCGAAGAAATTAGATGGTGCCCAGTTATCAGATAAAATAGCATCTGGAGATTTACAGGCTTGTCTCCAAACAAGCAATCACCTAAGTGAGATGTCAACTGAGTCCACATAGAAGAAGCACACCATCATCAGTGACCAAAGGATTGTAAATCATACCATCCATAATCGAAGGAGGGATTAGTATCGGAGCCTAGATGGTGAGAATCTGGTATGCAGAAGGCTATGGATGACAGTGGGAGCCCAAGATTCATCTGTGGGAACTACATAGGAAACGAGCCTCCGGTGAACTTCCTCTGTCTACACTGAGGATGGGAGGAAAGTGGTTACTAAGCAGAGTGCATTGGAGAGATGAGGATAGAAGATCAAAGGGACTTGAACAGTGAAAATCTAGTCAGTTGATTCCCCCCTCTGATGAACCCTGGACTTCATCTGGTTTGGAACATTTTCTGTATTTTTGCTTTTGTTCATATTAGGGTTTACCACGGAGCTGTGATGTCATTGAGAGTCATATAACATCCTTGAAATTGTGTTATATGTTTTTCTGTGTTTCAGTAGATGAAACCCAGGATTGATGAACCTATAGGGACAGCAAGTAGAATAAGGGTTTCCGGGTGGTGGGGGTGGTGTAACTGGGCTGAGGGAGGGGGGAGGGTAAAAGGGATTTGATGTCAAGGAGTCCAGTAAGAAAAAGAATGTTTGGAAACTGAATGTGGTAGCAATTGTACAATTCTGCATGACATCATTGAACTCTGGTATGATAATGGTATGATTTATGTATTAATGCCCAATTAACAATATTTTTATGGGGGGAAAAAAGAACCTATCCCTTTACTAGTTTCCAGGCAGCTTACTTTCCACCTTCGTGCAAGTTTCCCCTTGAGGTTTATGTCATCGAAACATTCCAATATCTTATTTTTCTCTTTGCTATTATCTCTCAATTTTCTCGTAACTACCTGCCTTAGTTTGGCTAATTGTGCTACAAATTACCTCAAGAAAAGTGAGTCATCATGAGGGTAGCCTTGGGCAGGCACTGGGTGGGGGAAGCACAGGAAGCCAGGTCCCTCTGGAAATTGCTTTCCCTCTCCAGGCCTCTGTACCCCCTGTCTCTCTCTCTCACTTCTCCTCCCCCACCTCCACCAGGTTTCCTCTGCTTTCTTAGGGTTGGTGCCCCTATGAATCTGGGGAACATCCTCACTAGTGGCTCTACAAGTTGGTTATCAGTTGGCTCCAGGCTTAAGCAGGTAATGTAAACAAGAAGCTGACCAGGAATGTTGTTTTTAGGTTCTGACTCATAGAGACCCCAGTAAGACAGAAGGAAACACTGCTGCGAGGGGGGTGGGGGTGGGGGGTGTCCTGGGCCACCTCCCAATTGTTCTTATGTTTGAGTCCATTGTGGTACCCATTGTATTAACCAATCTTCCTGAAGATCTTCCTCTTTTTCACTGCCCATTTTAGTCTGGGTAGACTAGAGAAATAAATTCATAGAGACACCCATGTGTATAAGAAAGAACTTTATATACAATAGCAATTGCATATTGAGTAAATGTCCCAGCCCAGTCCAGATCCAGCCCATAAGTCCTATATTAGCTCATATGTCAGATTCCAATCTATAAAGTCCTCTTCAGACTCACAAAACGCGTGAAATGATGTTGAATGCAGGAAGATCACAGGCCAGTGGGTGGAAAGTCTTGTGAATCCAGTGACAGGATAAGCAGCTCAGGGCTGGCAGGGGTCTCTAGGTAG